AAGTCAAAAAAAAAGTGAAGGTTAACGCAGCATTCAAATGTAGATTTTTGTATTGAATAATTGTAAAATAATATAATAACGGTGTCAAAATAGTGGGTTATTTGTGATCACAAGTACCTTACATAATGAAATTAAATGTTGACGGATAGAATATACACAGTTATACATAGATATACCTCATAATCAGATATCGAGTAATTTGGAAAATTTAAATATGGTTACGTCATGTGAACAAAATAGGTTTAAAATTTGGCATGGAAATCAAAATCTTGTGGTTATTCATAAAATAAAACCTGACTTATCCACGTGGTCCAATCCACAAGCTAAAATGGCGGCTCCATGGTCCCAGAAATGGCTATGACAAATAGACTGACGACATCAGATCGGCCGAAATGCCAATACGTCTAGGAAGTCTATGTAGTGGAAAACCACGGGGAAGACGCAGCAAACAGGCTTGGTGGAGACAACGGGGATCGTGTAGGTGTGGAGTACGGCTCCCAGGGCGACACGTGCTGATTACATAACCAGGTGTAAAACCTGATCGGAGGGACTCGAACGCGGTACACGCCTACTCCTAACTTACTTGCCCTGTGGATATTTAAACCACGGTATACCTAACTGCAATAATAAAAAAGATCAGCAATTATACTTACGGAGCAACCTCCGGCGAGTTGACAGTTTTTAGTTGACTATTAGCAAAGCTATTGGATGCTGGTGATGCAATGTACGATGTACAGTTCAAAATATCGGCATCGAGCCTACTCTAATAATTCTGTTGCAATTTTACAACGGCACAGGTTGAATGAACGATTTCACGATTTCTGACCCGCGTCTCAAGAAGTTCTGTCCGTTCATCTGTATCTTTTTCGAATTTAATATTCGCCCTACTCCGCGTGAAGCGCGCACGACCGGACTTTGGTTGTTATAAAAACTAGACATCTGATTGTGTTCCTACACGATACAGGATGGTATAAAATTTCCTAGCCAAGGATACTGGGACACAACAATAAATATGTATTTTATTAAGGTGTCTTATTTGAATGCTACAACACCTCACAAGAAACAATAGCGAACTTAATAAGATCTATGCCTAATCGTTTGAGAGATGTTATTAAGGCAAGAGGGGGTCATATGCATTATTAAAAATTAAGTGTTAATTTAGATAATTGTCAATAACCACATTTCCTTTAGTAATAAAAAAAGTCAATTTGTTTCATGCATTAATTTCATTTGTTAAAACTAAGGAACAAAAATAAATTGTAATAAATTTAAGCTTAAAGTATATTAAATTGTCTTTCAAATAGCATACTTCTTTTTTTTTTAATTTGATGAATAGTTTAAAAAATATAAATAATTAAAGTCAAAAGTTTGCAGTGGGCCGATTTCTATGCACGCAAGTTTAGTTTATTACAATGCTTCCAAAATGCGACTATTGCTTTAAGAATATATTCTATGCGATATCTTGAAAGAAGATATTACAAAAGAAATGCTTTTAGAAACCTAGCAAGGCATATCATCGGCGACACCGCAAAACCTAGTAACTACAAAAATCATATGAGAAAGTTTTTTTCATTATAAGAATTAAATAAATTAGAATTAATTATCTCTAAATTTATAGTGTTTTATTATAAAAAAACACCCGTGTCATATTTTTTTAACTAGAGCTGATACAGAAATTTCAATCATGGAATTGAAATCGTAATCAAAAATTGGACTAATATCATGTAACATAACCCAATCATCAGAAATGCTGTTGTTGTTATAATCAAACATATCTTCTTTCGTTGGAATGTATCTCTTCCCAGAATCATACAAGCTCTCTCTTTGTAAGTTCACTACAATATTTCCCTTGGTTTATTCATCAACTTCTTCATCAAAGAGTGATAAAATAGTAATTTCTTCTGACAAGTACCAAAGATGTTGGCTCAGGGCTGCTTTGGAGATCTCTTTGTCAACAGTTTCATATTCCTTAATCCTCTTTAAAAAGCACAAATCTTGATTTGGTGCCTTCACCGCCAGACTACATCCAAGCCATGGTTTCACATATATAACAGCAATGAATAAACAAACGTCTTGAAGTGCTCGTTTATCCTTGGCGTTAATTTTAAACTGAGATTGCAACAAACATATTTTCAAAGAGTAAATAGCTCTAGCCATCCACCTTGCTTGATGCATTGCTCCAGGAGGTCTTATTTTATTTTTTTTCTCAGTATCCTCCTAAGAAAATAATAGATAGTTCAATCAGTTCCCGGTAATCGTCGCGGACAATGAATTTTTGCAGTTCTCGATTATAAAATGTCAACAATTCTTCTATTATTGTATTACAAAAATGCTGCGAGACGATGTCGGTGTATGTTTCAATAGCAGCAGGATTAATAGTTTTCCAGCTGTCTCTAAACTTTTTAAATATCGGGATATCAGGGCTACTTGTGATTTGGTGGATTTTTGTTTCAAATACACATTTTAAAACCAGTTCATAAACGTGATGGCGGCAAGCAAAGAGTAATAATTCCCTGTCTAGCTTTTGTTCCAAAAGTACACAAGCCCCTTTCAATTGCCCTGTATTAGATGCAGTTCTGTCACAGCACATTATTTGTACTTTGTCCTAGAGGTTCCAGTCATAAAGTGCGTTTAACACAGCTTTAGCTTGTTCTTGACCGGAAGAGCTCTCCAGTTTGGCTACAGCCAAAAGTTGTACTTTTTCTCCAAATGAAATAATAATTGGCAGGCGTTCTTCTTTAGAACTTCTTACGTCCAGTCCAGGTAATAATTTCCCGTCCCAGTGAACGGTCACCGTTTCAGGCAAATTATTCTGAAAATCTGATTTTATAGATTCCGCTCTATCTTTTCTACTCTGTGTGCAAATGCGCTGAATAGACGATTTGTTTATCGGAAAATCATCACAGCTTAGATCTAGTGCTTCTACTACAGCCTGAAGTATATAGACAGAATCCCTTATGCTTAATTGACATCTATCTAAAGCTGCAACTAACTTAGGAGTGATGAAGTCTTTCTTTCCTCTTTTTGTAGTAGTTCCAGAACTTACCGTTTGAGATGTCGATGGCAAGGGTTCCTCAAGGCTTTCATCAGAGCTGGTAGGTTGATCGGGATGTCCTTGCATTTCAATAAAATCTTGTGTAGTTTTAGATGACGATAAACTCTCGGAATACATTTGCTCATGTCTTTTTTTCTCTTCTTTTAATTTTCTCTGTCTTGCTCTTTCTTCTTTCTCAGCTAACTTTTTATCTACACCCGCTAAACATCCTGGACGTCCCGATTCTTTGTTTTTTAAAAAGATTTTATCTTCTATTTTCATCCATTCCAAAGCATTAGCATGTGCTATATCGAATAAATTATCCAAATTGTTTTGAAAGTCCTCCTCACTGTGCTTACAAACATCTTGTTTTTTTTTGGAATTTTTTTGCAACTCTCTCCAAACATGGTGAAGATCCACAAGTTTTTTTACACAGTTAGGGATGGCTCTGGTAGGGATTCTAGCTTTTTCCCAGAATATAATACACTCTCGAATGACGAGATTTGCGCTTTTATTAACAGTCAATTTAACTTCGCGAATGTTGAAAAAGAGGACTGCAAGAAATTGACGGTTAGACGGTAACTTTGCTCCAGTTATTTGATGGTTCACGTCACCAACTAAGAAAATACTTTTTTTAGTGCTTCTTAATTCCACTGCCATTTTTTAAATGTAAAACAATATATTAATCACGAGACTAACTAAGAACAAATGACAAATACAGCGAGTACCCGCTGCTACTTCCGCGCAACTTGTATGAACATGATTCGATGCAAGTCAGCACGGGTTATCGTTCTCCAAATGGGGTAAAAATTTATTTCCGAGTGTTTTAAGCACAAATGAAAAAAACTAAGACCTATGCATTAAAAAATAAGAACTAAAAAATAAGGGACACCCTAAAGCCAAAAGTTTATGGCCCATATCAAACCTTTGAATTTTTCCGCCATACTTAAACTGCACTAACTAGCATGAACCTTGTGTTAAAGAACTTGCACTCAGTGGAGAAATAGTTCATTTTGGTCATAAGAACACACAGAACATTCAAATAATGGTTGCAAATTTTCAAATTTGAACAATGAATTTTGGGCAAGCCAGTGCAGCACTAACGCAATAAATCGAAAATGCTATTAAATTAATTACTCCGTAAAATATGTCCATCTTCTCAAGAGTTGAGAATTTGTAGGAAATTTTCAAACTCACATTCTGACAGATTTAAAAAAGTATAAAACTAGTGACGGGCACTATCGAATAATTACTAAACGAATAGTATTGACTATTGAATAAATTCATTCGAATAAAATCATTCATTACTACTTTTAACCGCTTAGACAACTACAAATGCGTGCTTTCTGGCTCCGACTGATATCGAGCGCTATCGATCGCTGCCCGAAGGTGAATGCAGCGCTGTTATATGATCATCAGTATTACCTATTTAGGTATATTAATGTTGAATTATAAAATTTATTTTGAGTCATAAATATTCTTTTCATTCCGACGAACAGCCAATAACAATTGTTATGAATCGGAATGTATTCATTCGTTAGTAAGGATTGTAAGGATAACATATTTTGTGTATCAGATAAAACTAGTGGTAGTAGTATTCAAACGATGAATGAATTCATTGAAATTTTAGTTCAATTAAACAAATGTTGTCGGGTTTTAAAATATTAGAGAAACGATATATTGTTACTTTTTTCATTCTGATGAATAATAGTTTGTTTTTATTTGTAATATTTATTAAAAAGTAGCGTGAATGAAGAATTCAGTCTATATCGGTAAACAACGACAGACACGACAGCACCGCTGCCGCGTATGCCGTAAACGTAACTACAATTCATTCGTTCGATTTTTATTCGAATACTGTGTCGTTAGTCACTATCGAATAATTCAAATAATCTGCAACTCTCGAATAATTCGATAGTTTTTATTCGATAGCGCCCATCACTATATAAAACCATTTGTCACATACCAACATGCTGATGTTGACCTGCAACCAATATTCTCTCAGGAACATTCATACTTAAATTATCTCCAATCCATGAATTCCGGTGAACTCCATTTAAATCTGAATTAAAACTAATTTTATCTGGTACTTTCATTTTCTGATTTATTTCTACTTTAAAATTAGCATCGGACACAAATGCATCTTCTGTGTAATGAGATGGACTTGTATTTGTGGACATTTTTCCTAAAAGTTTTAAGTATTTATTTAATAGATATAGTAATTAACATTTCTTACTTATTTGTTTTAGTAGTTATTTTATCAATTGTAAAAATATCAGTTTATACAATAAACATTTTAAATCAAGGTGTTATAATAATGACACAAATTATTTGGACCACCCATTTTTTGACAGAACACGATCAGGGTGACCAACTGTCAACCTGAGGGCCTTTCGATTTGGCAACAATAGTAGCTATTAATAGCTCAGAGTTCCGAGCGGGCAGCCGAGCAGAGCAGACGTGTTTTGTGAAAGTGTAGTGCAACGAGCAAAATCTACCTGCCTTTATTAAGGCTATCTGGAAAGAATCCCTTTCCTTCCTCTTAATCACCGACCTAATCCCCGGGTTAAGCATAGAGGCCGTCGGCATCTTTGTTACAGATTATGCCCAGGTAAGTTTTACTTATTTATCAGTTATTTGCATTATTTTAAAGCGTTCGATTCGCTTATTCCTTAAACTGAGGGTGTTTCCACCTTTGAGTAAGGGATACGCCATTATTCCATGGCTAGAAATTGGCCTCAATGATTTGGGATCTAGGGGGATTATCCCTCTTTATCCTGCCTCATCTCGTGTAGGCCTGGACAGCCTTCGTAGGTAGGCCCCATCCGTCGTCTACCCCGACCGCAAATGCGGCCGGTGTAGGCGGTTTGTGGGACCTCCTTTTGTCCTGGCTGGGCCCCGCCGGCTAGGGCCCTTTCTTCTGGCGCTCTTCTTGCTTCGCCGGCTCGTCTGTGTAAACCCCGGGGGTAGTGTCATGTTTATGTGTGGTATGGTTGGGTAGGGTAGTGCGGCTATGCAGCCTGGGATGCGCTTTGCTAAGGTGGCCCTTAGGCTAGCGCGGGAGGGGAGGGTTAAGGAGGGTATGGGGGTGTGTGTGTGTGTGTGTGTGTGTGTCGTTGTCTTCGTTTCTTGATCCTGGCTGTCTCTGAAACAGAAAAGGTTAGCGGGCAGGGGGGGGGTCATTGGGGTGGTCACCCAGGGTCAAAAAGTTGGTGTCTAGGTCTTTTGTGTTTGTCGGTCACGTCGGGTACGTAGTCAACGGCTTGCCTGAGGAGGGGATTGTCATGTCTAGCGGCTACGTCAAATCGTTTCTCCGCGTTTTGTCTTATTGTCTGTGTAGCGTTTGTGTATTGTAAGTCTCGTAATATGTCAGTGTTTCTTACGTACCAGGGCGCGTCGGTGGCCGTGCGGAGGGCTATGTTTTCCACAGCCTGTAATGACTTTAAGTGGCTTTTTGCCGCGTGACCCCACGCCGTGGAGGCGTAGGTTAGCTGCGGTTGAAGTACCACCTTGATAAGCGTTCGCTTATTCCTTAAACTGAGGGTGTTTCCACCTTTGAGTAAGGGATAGAGCCTAGCCCTGGTGGTCTTCGCTCGCGCCACCGTCTCCACGATGTGCGGTTTCCACGTGAGACGCTGGTCCATCGTCACGCCCAGGTATCGTGTTTGTCGATTCCAGGAGATAGGTTCCTGGGATAGTGTCAGTCTGTCGAGGTTTTGTGGGATTTTTCGTTTGGTAAAAAGGATAGCCGAACTTTTGTTGGGATTAATTTTGACTTTCCACCTGTTGCACCAGGTTTCAAGTTGGTCTAAGGAGTTTTGGAGGAGGGAGACGGAATATCTAGGATCTACGGATTGGGATGTGATTGTCAGGTCGTCGGCGTATAAGTATATGTTGGTGTTGGGGGGATGTGGGATGTCGGAGTTGTAAATGGTGTATAGGTGTGGGGACAGGACGGTGCCCTGGGGGACACCGGCCTCCATGGGACGGGTGGTGGAAAGGGAATCTTGGATTTGGATGCGGAATTTTCGGTGGTGTAGGTAGGATTTTATGAGTTTGGTAAAGGATATGGGATATTGGTTGGTGAGCATTTTCATCAGTAGGCCTTCATGCCAAACCGTATCGAAGGCCTTTGCGACGTCCAGGAAGACAGCACCAGTGTACTGTCCCCTGTTGAAGGCCGCCGTGATGTGCTCGGTAAGGCGAAGGATTTGGAGTTCAGTGGAGTGATTGGGTCGGAAGGCGAACTGCTCGTCTGGAATGACTTGCAGTTCTTGGGAGTGGGTTCTTAGACGGGTTAGGATAATTTTTTCTACCACTTTGCTCATAGCCGGGAGCAGGCTAATGGGCCGGTAGTTGGATGGGATGGTGTGATCTTTGTTGGGTTTTGGGATAAGGATTATGTTTGCTGTTTTCCAGCGGGTAGGGAAGTGTCTTAGTCTGAGTGTCGCGTTTGTTATGTTTAGTAGGGCCATGAGGCCCTTGTGTGGTAGTCGTTTAAGTGTCGTGTTATGTATATTGTCGGGTCCGGGGGCTTTTCTGTTTTTAAGTCTGCGTATTGTCAGTCTTAGTTCGTCAGGTGTTGCGGGGGGGATTATGTCATTGTCTGGCTCTCTGTCGACGCGTCGGGCCGCGCGCTCAGCCACTATCTCGAATTCCTCGTCTTCGTCGGGCAGCTGAGGCAGTCTACACTGCAGTTCCAGGCTATCGGCGAAAGCCTCGGCCTTTTCCTGGTTCGTGTAAACCACCCCCACACTACCGTGGATTGGAGGAATTTTACGGCGAGCGGTCTGTCGCAGGGCCCTCTGCGTTTTCCAGAGGCTGTTGTCTTGTGGATCCAGCGACTCCAGGTGCCTAGCCCAGTTATCCTGGGCCAGTTCATCCAGAGCCGCCTTCACCCGTCTGTTAAGTACGTTTAAGTCATGTCTGTGTCGGGGGAGGCGGGTGCGGGTGGCAAGCCGTTTCGCACGTCGTCTGTCACGTATTAAGTTTTTTATGTCATCGGGGAGGGTGCCCCGGGGGTTTGTCAGTCGGGGGACAATAGTCTCCGTCGTAGTCTGAGTCAGGGCGTTATTAATGTCAGTCTCAAGGGAGAGGATTGCCGCCTCCAGATCATGGGTGGTTTCGATGACTGGGAGCGCTATGTTTCCTTGCATTACTGCTCGGAAGCGTTCCCAGTTAGTGAACCTCCTCGTGAAGGTCTAGGAAAGGATTTTGTCTAAGTCATTGTCAAGTCGTGGTAGTCTGGGTGGGTGGTAACAGGACACCACAGCAACGTCTCCATGCCGGCCGTAGCGATCTCACCGCTATCGCCACGGCCTCTGTGTTTTGAGTTCGGAGCCGCTGCAGCGGATAGTGGTCGATGCACTTTTTTACTATGAGTGCAACATCACCCCCGTTACGGTTTC